GACACAGGCAGCAGTGGCAGCCGAAGACGAAGATAAGAATAGACAGGGATAGGCTCCTGCCACACAGGCAGAGTATGGTAGCCTCGACAGCAACGCCCCTTTAAGATATAATGATGAAGTGTATTAATAAAGTATTAAGTCGCTACCTGTAAGCTACGGGAGGAGTGGTCAAGGAGCAAGGACTACCTGCCAGGGAGTAGTCCCCACGATTGAAAGGAAAGAAAATAGATGGTGGCAGCTTTTACCGAAAAGGAAACCCCGAACAGGAGAGTCCTAGCTAAGGGTGAGCTAGGATTGCGATAACTCCTTACAGAGCAAGTGACGGTGGAGGCAAGGAAGGATACCTCCACGGCCCCCTACTGGAGGCGTTACAGTGGTGGCAGAGGCGGGCTGACTCCACGCCCCCCCTGCACCACGGCATTACATTAGTGTTTCATCATTTACTGGTAGCACTGAGCACTTCTCTTTCCACTGACATTAAGCGGGCAGTGTATAAGATGCTGACTCCACTGCAGTCATGTCAAAATTAAAGAGTTACCTATAATGAGTATTCCTAACATTGAAGAAATAGAAGTTGGCTTATTTTTTTTTTTAATATTGAATAAGCGAATAGCAAATAGACAAGCAAATGGATACTCTCAGAAACTTCATTTAAAAGACTAAAGATTCTCTGCAGTTAGGGCAAACAGAATATCAGGATAGTGAGTGAGTGAGTTTATGCAGGAGAACCATTGCATTATTAGTTATGTATTTAACATTGTTCATGAACATTTACACTATGTAAAAATGATTGCTGGATAGGTTCTTCACTAACTCCTTGTTGCATGGTCTTCCTTGGAAACTTCATAGTCATTCAGTAGATAAAGACACTCTATCATTTTGTGGAACCATGCTATGAATGTATCATGTTGATACAAGTCTGCCATTGTACCTTATCCTAAGCCAGTTGAATCCATTCCACATGTTCACACTGTACTTCTCGAAGATCCATTCTGATTTCATCTTGTCCACACTTAGGTCTACCCAAATGACATATTCCCTCCATGTATTCTCATCAAAATTCTATAGGTCACATCCTCATTTTGTGTTACATATTATATAACATCTTGAGTTGATACAAGACTGCCTCTGTGGTCTAGTGGTCAGAGGTTCTGGGTTCGATTCCTCGCTCTACCAGATTTTCTGAGAAGTAGTGGGTCTGGAAAGGGGTCCAATAAGCCTCGTGAGGATAATTCAGGAGCTATTTCAAGGAAATAATGGCTCTGGTCTAGAAAACTGAGATTAACATCCATGGGGATCTGAGGCGCTGACCACGCAGCACCCTCTATCTGCTAAAGTTGACACTAACTTCACCGGCAAGGGGTGGTTGCTCTGTCGGTATAGTTTGCTCACGGACTACAGGCCACGGAATTTGTTTTTTTTTTGTTGAGTTGATACAGCATTATTAAATATCCTGTGGTTCCATTGTTTATGAGGAGCTTCATAAATTGTACTCTTCTCCAAGTATAATTAGAATGATCAAGTCAAAGAAGATGAGGTGGGAGGGCATGTAGCATGAATTGGGGAGAAGAGGAATGCATATAGGATATTGGTGGGAAAGCCAGAAGGAAAGACACCACTGGGAAGATGAAGGTGTAGGTGGGTGGACAGTATTAAAATGGATCTTAGAGAGATGGGATGTTATAGATAGGATTGATCTGGCTCAGGATAGGGAATCAATGGGGGGCTCTTGTAAACATGGTAATGAACCTTCGGGTTCCAGAAAATGCTGAGAAATTCTTGATTTGCTGCAGAATTGGCGGCTCCTCAAGAGGGGCTCAGCTCTGTGTGTAAGTAAGTATGGTTCCATTGTTGTATCTCCATTCTTAAACAAGATTGATAAGTTGAGACATATTTGTAAGGAGAAAGAACTTTCCAGTCATATGTGACATTGGTTCCTTACAAAGTTGTTTTTCTCAAAGCATTGAATAATTCATTGCAGTTCATCTGACCCTAGAGACTGATTTACCTGCAGTAGGGCCGCACCATAGGTCAAGCAGTTAATCACTGACTTCCCACCGCGGCAGCCCAGGTTCGATCTCGGGTCTGGTCAAGTGGGATTTTTGGTGGATAAAGTGACACTGGGGCAGGTTTTCTCCAAGAACTTCGGTTTCCCCTGCCAATCTTCATTCCACCAATTGCTCCACAGTCACCCTCACCTATGATCTGGGGCTGGTACAATAGGCCAGAAGTGGCCGCAGTACAAGGGACTTAGTCCCACCTCACTAGCAATAAAAAAAAATACCTGCAGCAGTGTTTGCATATACTAATTTTGTATTACACAGGATTTCCGCAACTTGAGCTACACTCTTCCTTCAGTTCGAGGACTGGTGATTCATATGGAGGATAGGCAGACATCTATACTTCTTCCCAAGAACAGATATGATCAGGTGAGGAAAGTCAAGTCATTGAATGTATAGCACATTTACCGAATAGCATTTGGCATCAGGAATGTGGTTTTAAGTATTGCATGGGAAGTTTCAACATGGGTAGGGTGTGTTAGTATGAGATAAGCATTTTCTTAGGTAAATTGTGAAGATACTCTTCATATGAGCAGACATTTCTGTTACCTATTAAATGGCTGAAAGATAAAGTTAAATAGTGCTTTATGTAAGACACTCTGTGCTGTGTGTCTTATACATAACACTGTTTTATTTTTTCATGTTTTAGTGTTGAAGCATATTGATAGCTTTACTTTCATAAGTATAATTGCAGTTTTTGTTCTTCAGTTTCCTTTTAGCAAATAATGACTTTCAAGACTAAAAGGTGGTGGTGTCATTTGACAGGCCAGCAGCCTTACCCTATTTCCTCCACAAGTCTTTAAGATTGAGTAGAATTATGATGTAAAATTAATGGAGGGAAATAGAGTGTGGGGATACAAATTGGATTGTACAGGTACAGGACAGGGTCCAATGAATGTGGTTGTGGAACCTTTATGTCCCATGAAAGTAGGGAATTTTTTCTCTAGTTAAATAATTATAAACTGCTAGAGGAAGACCTGTGCTATGGAGTTACTGCTTTTAAGCTTGCATATGACAGATGTGTTGTTTGCTTATAATTCTTTTACCAAGTTTTATGATTTTTAGTACGCTCGGTTTTGATTCTCAGTCTAGAGGCAAGCTGTTCTGACATTATTCTTGATTTCCTCTTGTCTCTGCACGCAGATATTGGACTAGGTTCTTGAAACAGTCACAGGTATTTCCTTCTGTGACCTTTTGAAGTCATTATTTGCCGTTCAATTATTCTCGTTCAATACTGTATAACCTGTGACGCTGGAGAAGGTATCATTAAATAAACTAAGACATGTTGCTCCTGCATTCAGCAAGGGCAACTTGTACTCTGCTGAGACAATAATGACTTCAGAAATTACTATTCTGGCCTGATCAGTATTTAGCATGCCCCTTTCTGTTTGTTGCCAGGTTACAAGAGCACTGAATAACTCAAATGATCATGTCCTGGCATTAGCATCGAATTTCAGTTTCTCAGCAGACTCTCATCTTGTGTGCATTCAGTCCAACAGGGATGAGAGCTATCACACTCAGGCAATTAATATCCACAACAAACCTCGCAAAGGTAGGTCAGGAGTTAGTATAAATAATGGAATGTTTATAGTATTGTCTACCCCAATCTTAATATTTTCCTGGAGAGAGACAGTGTATCTTTGTTAGTTTCATATATTGAATGCTCTTTAATTTCAAAACCCATGTATAATTAACACACAAAATTATCATAAGAATAAGTTTTACTTGTGTATTCTGGACATATTTGCATGATTGATAGCATTTGACAGTACAATAAACTGCTAGGGGTAACAGATTTCATAATGTTAATGATTGCAAGGGCCCACACAGCAAGACCTCACTACATGTTCCTTATTGTGCAGTTATTGATTTCCACTTAGAGTTTTTAACTTTCAGAAGTTGGGCACACTGCACGCCAACTTCAGGCATTTTCTTTTTATTTCCTGTTTAGTTGTTATGTGTGGAGACTATTATAATATAAGTTGTAAAATTGTAGTAACAATATTTAATGCCTTTTACTCAATTCAGTGACTGGGGCAAGCTTTGTGGTGTTCAATGGAGCATTGAAGACTTCATCAAACCTAACAGCCAAATCAAGTATAGTGGAGGATGGCCTCATGGTTCAGATCACACCAGATACAATGCAGGTATACAATGCCACTTGATGTATGTACTCGTATATTTGGTGTGCAATAAAGTTCGCAAACCTCGTTGCTCACAGTGGTTGCCTTCAAAGTACTCCCCTTGGGAAACTATACACTGATGTCAGGGCCTATTCCACCCTTCAAAACAATATTGAAACTGGTTTTGTGGAATGGCCTTCAGAGCTGCCGTCATATTACTCCTGATGTCATCAAAATGCCTTCCTTTCAATATTTCCTTTATCTTCAGGAACAGAGAAAAAGTCACTGGGGTCTAGATCTGGTGAACAGGGAGGGTGTTCCAGCACAGTTATTTGTTTACTAGCTAAAAATTGCCTATTTTTTTTACTGCTAGTGGGGTGGGACTAAGTCCCTTGTACTGCGGCCACTTCTGGCCTATTGTACCAGCCCAAGATGATAGGTGAGGGTGATTGTGGAGCAGTTGGTGGAATGAAGATTGGCAAGGGAAACTGAAGTACCCGGAGAAAACCTGCCCCAATGCCACTTTGTCCACTGCAAATCCCACTTGGCTAGGCCCGGGATCGAACCTGGGCCGCCGCCGTGGGAAGCCAGCGTCTGACTGCTTCAACTATGGCACAGCCTGCCAAAAACTCCCTTACATACAGTGTCATGTGACCAGGTGCATTGTTGTGATGCAAGGCAACAAAACACACTTGGACATTAATAGATGCCACTCAGAAAGAGACTGCCATAAATCAGCAATAACAGCAATGAAATTCCGACATGCCAATGTCATCAAACCATACTGAGGTTTCTATCCACTGCTGCCACAGCAAGCACATGGTGGCAAGTTCGTGAACTTTATTGTCACACATCGTATGCTGCAGTGATAGTAGCGCCCCCAACCAGTATCTCAGCTCCCTGAAATGGGGGCCCCCCTTCACACTGCTTCCTCTGCTAGATTTTTCTGGTGGCTGGATTATCCACTTCTATAAAGAAACCCCTTTCAGTGGCCTCCACAGCAGAGCCTATGAGAGATTTGGCTGTTTCTATAGCAGCATAGGGCCAGGTATGCCTCCTGATACAGGAATCCCTCTCCAGAGCTTCGAGAGACCACACAATTGGACCCTCTGATGCAGGGGGTCAATTATTCTTTTTCCAGAATAGTGACAGCCCATTTCTCTTGTGTGCACTGTCATGGCTGAACCTGCACCAAAGCTACAGCCAAGACCTCAGGTCCTTCAGAAGAGACTTCATGATCTTTGCTATGTTCTCTTCCAGCCAGTCCATTTCTTCTTGTTGATGGTCAGGTTACTTGCCCTCAGCAATGGAGAGCCCCAGTGAGATTCTGACTGCTGCTGGGGAAGTTTATCAGCCTCAAGCAGGTCATTTTGCTGTTGCTGAAGAGTGTCATGAGGAAGTGGGTGGAGTGACTAGGTCCCCCTGTAGACCGAGATATTGTTCCTACCATAGAATGTTTTGAAGCTGCCATTGTAAGAGTAACAGCATGAAATAAGTATAGAATGACTGGTAATTTTTTGGGTACAGGCACTCAGAGGGGCACTGAGAAATATGCAGGACTTTTCTATTGGCTGTGGGCCTGCTGGTGCAAGTGAACCAGATGAGCTTGTCAACTTGAAATGGGTACAGGATGACAAGAACTTCAATATTGGGTAAGAGAAAAGAAATATATACAGACACTACATTGATTTGAATATTCATAATATTGATCAGTAAGTATATCATTACGAATGTGAAACGTCTCAAAAGTTGGCAGGATGTTGTTACTAGATGTGTTCAGTTTCCACAATTCTGAAGGATCCATTGGCTCTCTTTATATCAGTATGTTGTCATGCATTCTGATGACACATGAACATGTGCTTGGTTTTCTCTGCATATATTTGCAGGTAAACTTCTTAATTCTTATGTATTGTCCAGTTGTACTCCTGTTTCCTCTTTGGTATTTCATGAGTGCAGAGTATTTAATAGTATTTGATGTAAAAAATATCCATGTAACAGGCCATGGAGGCCCATAGAGTTGTGAGACATTCGGGGTCCCACATTTTCTCTAGACAGTGAGCTCAGAGCTGGTGGTGTGGTTGTCAGCCTTATGTGCCAGCTGCCCTTTGCCTCCCCCTCCCAGAAAACTCCTGGTACTCATTTCTGTTAGACGCTGAGTCAACCCGAGGACCATAGTGCAGTGGAACCTGCGACCTTCCAGCTTGTGCCTCAACCAACTATGCTACTGCATACCCCCAGTATATGATGTGTTACTCCAAAATCCACAGATGATATTGGATAGTTTTGTCTGTTTATTGTTTATGTGACGTATGTGCTAACTGCAATGCTCTGTCCATGTAATTCTCACAATTATAAACATAGATTTATTCTAAATCACTGAGCTGACAGATCATTAAAGGCAATTTTATAAGAGACTTACTGACATTACAGCGTGAAGAGTAGTATTGACGGCCGAGCACTGGATGGAGTTCCTTCAATCAGGGTTCATAATGGCACAGATTATATGGGATCATGCAGATTCATCCGTTGGACTGAAGTCTTCATACTCCAAGTATGTTGTAGCATAATATCTCTTAAGAAACATTCTGTCATGCTGCAAACATTAATTGCAGTAAAATGAAATTGAAAGAAATGTGTTACCCATGGATTTATAATGTTGCAGTATAATTGTAGTTCTGTCCACCAGTTTCATTTTATACATATGCCTGTTAACTCTTTGGCTCTTCACCAAAACTATTTTGTTCGTCTTCTGTATGTCTGCCAAAATTGTAAAAATGGAACATGTACCTTTTTAAAATATCTGAACCAAAGTGCAAAAAGACAGTGCATGGAATATCTCAGTGGAATTAAATGTTAGTGCATGCATGTGGAGGATAATTGCTGTACTGTGCTATTTCTTTCAGTCAGATGAAGGCTCAGGAAGAGGTGGAGATCCCTTAGACATAAGCCGTCTATCAGAGTCACTTGCGAGAGCTACATGTCTGGCGTTGATCAAGTTGCTGGATCTCCTTGCTCAAGCTGGTCTTACAAAACTTGGTGTGCGAGCCACGGTTCATCCAGAAAATGTGAGTTGTTTAAACTGGAGGTTGTAACATTCATGGTGGCAAGGCAGTTTCCAACTTCTGTAGCTCTTGTTTCAGCCATCGGAAGTGCAGTAATCAGAATGCATTATGCTGTTCATAACGATTGGTCTCATCCACAGTATTCTGTGCCAGAACCTCATCAAGAAATAATTCAAATATATCTATAGTCCATTCGCGGAGACGAGACAGCGTAAACAAAGCAAGTCCCGCGTCGCCACAGCTGACAGCAAGGAGTGGACAAAGCGCGCAGTTACTTCAGTGTACTCACTGCATTCGAACGCACGTTAACCTGCATTCAGACTGAAGAGTGAACTTTGGACGCCCCTGCAACGGGACACACATCACGTGATCGCTGCATGATTTCATTCATAGAGCGAAGGAGATACCGCGTGCCTTTGTTTACGAGGACTCTCTCGTCTCCGCGAGTGGACTATACATCATCAGTCACCCTTGCATACTATTTTAATGTTGACATGTCCTTTTGTCTTATTTATAATTTGAATACAGTATGATCTAGTGATACTAGATACTGATGTTTGTTTGTTTGTTAGGTTGGCTATGAAGCTGGCAGCAAAGGGGAGAAGCTTCCTCCTATCTATATGGACAGTCTAGACAATGAGTTAGTGCCTGTACTTCATAAGGCAGCATCAATGTCCCAAGACAACTCAGGGGCAGTCTTAGAATTGATTTTCCACATTATGTTGCAGTGACAAAAACATATCATGGTAAGTCATAAAATATGGCCCGTTACACTTTTTATGATAATATATAAAAATACACATCATTGTAAAGAAAATGCAACAACAACCATGAATGTTTAATATACATATTTATATTATGCATAGAAATATGTGTAAGTTAACCAAATGAAACCTTATTTTACATTGTAAAAATGTAACTGGTGTGTATATATTTGCTAGCAGCATTGATGTGTGGTAGTTCAGGTTGAACAGAAATTTCTGTACCATGCCTTGTAGTATGCTTTTATAAACATTTATTTGTAACACAGTAGAAATAGAAAGCAATAAGTTTTACACATCTACAAGATTTCTACTCCATGTTCAACTGGTAAGAAATCATTTTTCATATAGATGGCACCAGATAACAGAAAGTGGACCTGTAAATGAAAACGATTATTCTTGGCCCCCGACACCTGCCGCTAGCTGCCGGAAGTATGAGGATTATTGTGAGCCATCAGAAGTATGTTAAAATTTAGCATTGGATGATGTAATTGTTCTATGAAAAGGAGAAGCGATATCCAGACATTATATACCAAAGAAACATGTGATTTGGTATAAGGATATACAGGGAAGTTCTTACCTTTGTTGACTGGTTCACAGTGACCGATGCATGGCCGACTGCAAGGCAGAAAGGAATTTGCCTCCTATGAGAAGTAAATTGAGTTTGATTCCATAAGTAGTCTCAGCATGATGACATGATACTGAAATCCATATCACAGTCAGAATGTCAGCAGAGTTCTATATATTATTGTCTACAGTTTACTCGTAAAAAATTCCTATTAACTTGTAAACCACTCACGAAAACTAGTAGGTCTGATTAGTTACATTTATTGGCATTGATGAGGTCATGGAATTTATTTGCATTTAGATATAGATACAAGGGTAAGTCAATAAGTAAGTTACAAATGGATATAGAGCTTAAACAAATAAGAGTACTGATTTGAAAAATGTTTTTATTTCTCAACATAATCTCCCTGTACTCATACATTGAGGCACTTGTCCCATCGTTTCTCAAGCCCCTGAAAACTGGCAGCATAAAATTCTTTGGGCTGCTCTCAGAACCAGGCGGTGACTTCCCCATCTACAGCTTCATCATCGGGAAAATGTTCAGCCGAAAGATGATGTTTAAGAGGGCTGAGAAATGAAAGTTGCTTGGAGCAAGGTCAGGGCTATATGGAGGATGCTCGAGGACTTCCCACTTGAAATTTCACAGCGTCTCATTTGTCTTGTTGGCAGTATGGGGACATGCATTGTCGTGCAAGAGCAACACACCTTTGGTGAGGAGTCCTGGTTGCTGCCGTTGAATGACCTTATGAAGTTTTCTGAGGATGTTACAGTAGGAGTCGACATTTACGGTTTGTCCTTGAGGCTGGACTGCGGTAAGCAGTATGCCTTCGTGATCCCAGTCACTGCCTGGTTCCAACAGCAGCCCAAAGAATTTGATGCTGCTGGTTTTCAGTGGCTTGTGAAACGGTGGGACAAATGCCTCACTGTACAGGGAGATTATGTTGAGAAATAAAAGTATTTTTCAAATCAGTACTCTTATTTGTTTAAGTTCTATATCCATTTCTAACTTACTTATTGACTTACCTATGTACATCTTTCATGATGTCAACAAAATTTAAAAGCGTTTTTTGGTTGTAATCACTTCCTTGTCTTGATATCGTACCTGAATATGTTGCTCCATAATACATTTTCAGTTACATTAACTTGCATTACTTAAGATATTGAGTGCTGGTCACGGTAGCTGAGCGGTGTAAGGCATGTACTGTCTTTGTTGCTTGGAAGCTGGGTTGAGTTCAAATCCCACACAAGGCATGGATGTTTGGTGTCTGTATGCATTTATTTTGTGTTTGTGTTGCCCTGTGTTTAGGTAGCGGCCTTGTGATGAACTGATCACCTGTCCATGGAGTTCTGCCATCAGTAAAAATGATCAGTGAAACTGAGAAATCAGCCTTATGCTCCAAAGTTGGTGCGAAAGGGGGAAAAATGTTGAGTTGTAGCAGGCAGCTAGTGGCAGGTGATCATCCAGATACCTTACGGTGCTGGATAGCAATACAGATCATAGTTAATTGCTCAAAATATATATTGACTTACATATTCTAATGTACTTTACATATTGTGATTTGCAGTACTGGTACTGATGCAGTCTCTTCCTGAGTCAGTGTCTCTTCCTGAGTCAGTACTTGTAGAAACTTATGATTAAGGAACATAACATGCAGTAACATATAGTGGAACATTACTGTGATCATTTGTAAACTGTTCTGTTTTTGAAAAGTGAAGAAATTGTGTGTAAAGTGCATGCTTTCATGCTGACTTTGTGTGATTTATATCTAGAATATAACTTCCTGCAGTGAAGTATATAAATTCTGTTCCAGCAAGCCATCAAAAGTGTGAATTGAAATTCCTTTTATGCCCTGAAAGAATCATCAAATCTCACAATAATAAGCCATAACCAAGAGCTGCATAATTTTAACAGAAAATGTAATTTACATGTTAATTGCATAATTGTTCATGTGTTGCTGATTTTAATGCAAAAACATATGTATGTGTATATATCTTTATACTACTATTGGTCTGCACGTGGTGCAGAAGAAAGGGAGTGCAGATACAGTTTGTCTCGTCATGATAATTATGGCATGATTTGAGGGTATAACTCAAATGTCAGTGCTTGAAGTTGGCTGTAAATACCGCAGCGTTCCTTTCAAAGCCCATGATGATAATAGAGTGCTGTATTAATGTGAATAATTCTTCTGTTCATGTACAGCATCGCAGATTGCTTCCAGTAAAGGCCTCCCATATCCACATGATATATGTCAGTATATCTTCAGTACCAATAAGGTAGTGAGAATATTCTTGTTGTGCTCATTTTAAAAAATATGTCTGTAATACAGTCTTCTGAAGCAATCATGTTAGTAAAAACGGTAAAGTTGTCCCTGTGCTTAACTAATTAAGCACTACACCATGAAGACACATGGGGGAGTGGATGTATACAGCCATGTTTTCTTGAGAGGTCAGCTTCATGCCCCCAGCTGCTTTACCCCTGGGGAAAGAGCCCATTGGATAGGAGGATGGGTGGGCCCCAGAGACATGGAGAAGTGAAAATTCTTACCCCCACTGAGACTTGAACTCCGACCCCTTGGTCGTTCAGCCTGTAGCCAGTCACCATACTGACTGCACTGTCCCAACTCCAGTCATGTTAGTATGGAGTATATGTTCAGCATGACTCATCCCATTAACCACTATGTTGGAGATGGAGACAGTTAATTTCATGTTGACACAGCTGATCACCCAAGAAGATGTCATGCATGCAGTTGCTGTTATTGCTTCAGATCGTGGGTTTTTGCTATTGTTCTAGAAGACCAATCTGTCAATGAACCCAAAACTTTAAAAGTTTTACAAAGTCACAGGTGTGTTTTAATAATTGCATTATTAAACCTTATAGTTACTTGGTTTAAATCTATTTCATAACTTGACACCATGGTGATGGCCTTTAATCATGGACAGCAGAGCCTAGTGGCAAGAAGGGTAACCCCCCCCCCCTGTAGAAACTTAAAAACAAACTCTGTGGTTTTAGTCCACAAGCGAACTATACCACCTCTGTGGTCTAGTAGTCAAGAGTTCCTGGCTACAGATCAAGATGGCCAGGTTCGATTCCCAGTGCTAGCAGATTTTCTGAGAAGTAGTGGGTCTGGAGTGGGGTCCAGTCAGCCTCATGAGGATAATTGACGAGCTATTTCAATGAAATAGCAGCTCTGGTCTAGAAATCCGAAATTAACGGTTGTGGGGATTTGTTGCACTGACTGCGCAACACCCTCTATCTGCAAAAGTTGTCACTAACTTCACCGACAAGCAGCGGTCGCTCGGTCATTATATAAACTTACAAAATTAGGCACAAAAGTAAAATGTTCATAACAGACTACATGCAATGTGACAATTTTTTGTTCCAGTATCAGAATTCCTTTACCTGTCTGTATCATTTATTGGGAATTAAATTATATGAAGCTGAAGGAACTCATATAGACTGCAAGTACAAGTGAGCTTACAGACACGACAGTTTCCAGCATCAGGTAATCTGACAGTTATTGATTAAACTGGAATGTGAACCTTCCTACTCAGTAGTTATGAAAGTCTGTAAATGTCTTCACATATAGTTGAAAGATGTTTCTCCAAATTCAGAAGACTTAAAGCATATTTGAGATCAGCAGTGCCGCTGAAAGACTGAGCTATATGTTAATATTACATGTACATAAAATGTTGAAAAGACTGAATTAGACAAATTGGCAGGGGCCTTTTCTAGCATAAATACTGTAACAATATCTTCCTGGGCCTTTCTGAAATACAGTTATGATTCTCTTTTGAAAAATATTCATGACCAAGTGTTTCGTATACACTTCTTTTGAATAAATGTATGTTTCAAAGATGCATGCTTCATCCTTTACACATTCTATTCTCCTTCTAAATTATAACTAATTCTAACTGATGAAATAAACGTAATTTGTAGGGGAATTTTAAAATCCAATCCAGCTTGTTTGAAAAAAATAAATAGGCCCTAATTTTGTTTCTTTTTTACCAACATTACTGTACAAAGAAGCCAAAGATCTGTTCTCTAAAGTGCATCTCATGTTCTTGTAATAAACAGAAATTTTCATTGCGTATCATAACTGATTCTTTGTAAACCACCCCTAATTGCCTGTTAAATAAGTGTAATACAGTATTAAAATTGACAGTATTTCCTTTTCAATGGAATTCAGAATGCCTTTAAGAATATAAAATTAAAATTTTAGTCATGTAACCATATTCACTTCCTCCCCAAAAATCAGTCTGCTGCTTCTGCCATGAATGTATAAGACTTTGTTAAGTGGGTTCTGAATATGATATTGACTGAGGACAGGTATACCTATTATATAGAACATGATATGTCTTAAACAAGAAAATATCCTTGTAGACTTGGTGGTTATTGTGTGTTAAGAGTAAAGTGTCCTCTATCATAAATAATTTTTCCACTACACAACCAGAATGAATTCTTGTGTACAAAGCAGGGCTGAACTTACAGTCTGTAAGGAGACACCCATATCTAGCATGAACATTACATTTGGAAGCAATGTTTGGGAAAACCTGGGAAGTTCATATGCTTTCAATTAAATACTGAGCCCTGTTAACAAGGATTATTGTAGTTTATTAAAATCGTAAATAGCAAAACTGTATGGTGTGGCTTATTATAATTCAGTTGAAAGTTATCCATTGGTTCTTGTACAGGTATTTTAAATAATTATACTGAAGGAAATGGTGATCATCATATTTATTATATGTTTAGTGCAAACAGTTCTGTCTATAGTGTTTGGCTTGTACTGTATCAGTTGAAGTATAGAGTCCGTTACACTTTTCCAAATAAATGAATTTATTACAGGAACACACCTTTTCTAAGGGTAGCTTCACTGAGCTCATTAACATATTAGTTAAACCTTCAGCCTATTTTTAAGGTCTTTCATTCTGGTCCGTCACACTAACCAATTAACAATCAAGTTCCTTCCGTCAAATGTGACACTTTTTTAAGTTTTCCACCTCGTCAGCACCTGCCTTACATGCTTCGGCTCACCACGGAGCCATCATCAGAGGCATTTATAGTAGAAAAAGAAATCACCAACACACAAAACTTCACTTTGTCCAAGATAGCCACGTTCCAGTTAATTAAAATAATTACAAATGGTTAAAATTACAAGCATCACAACACACAGACAAGCAACATCAACTACCGACAGACAACACACGCCAACAACATCCCGAAGCAAAAAGATTGGGCCAAACGGGAAAGAATTCTAGGGATTTTAAGAATTCTTACTTCAAATAACGAAACATAATTTTACAGAATTAACGACGAATCAAATAAGGAAGCTACTGTGGTGTGTGAAAAACTTTTAGTGAATCGACATTCTGGGTAATTTTAACCATTTGTAATTATTTTAATTAACTGGAACGTGGCTATCTTGGACAAAGTGAAGTTTTGTGTGTTGGTGATTTCTTTTTCTACTATAAATGCCTCTGATGATGGCTCCGTGGTGAGCCGAAACATGTAAGGCAGGTGCTGACGAGGTGGAAAACTTAAAAAAGTGTCACATTTGACGGAAGGAACTTGATTGTTAATCTTCAGCCTATATTTGAGGCAGTGGTAAAAAAAAAATGTTACTGTGCTACTGAAATGAATATATGATGTACAAGGTGTGACAATTTAATTCCTGGAATGGCACTGTGAAAGCAAAATTTGCTTACCTGTGCACTAGCAGCTGCTGTCGCCTTTGAAATACTCTCCTTGTGAAGCTCTGCACTTTGTGATACAATGGTGCCACTGTCTTTAAGGAGTCTTGAAAACCGTTTTCTGGAATACCTCGCAGTAATGTCAGGAATGTTTGCAAATCTTTGTCCCTTCAGGACATTTTTTAATTTTGGAAAGAGCAAAAATCACAGGCTAAGTCAGGTGAATAAGACAGATGGTCCATTTTTGTAATGGATTTCTTAGCCAGGAACTCATAAACTCTTAATGTATCATGTGCAGGGGCATTGCCACAGTGGAGAATCCACTTGTCAGCCAGAGTTTGGGTCTTCTCTTCCAAACAGATTCCCGTAACCTTGTCAGCACTTCCAAATAACACTGATGATTCACTGTTTGTTTGTACTCTGCCCACATTTGCATCTGTCCTTTACGTTTTTGGCTGCCCACTTCTTGGGTCATCTTGCACATCTTGCCCTGCCTTGAACTGTCTATGCCATTCAGAAGCATTCGAGTACTTCATAGCATATCACCATAAGCCACTGTTAATAGGGCTAATGTTTCACTAGCACTTTTACCAATCTTCACGCAAAACTTCATGTTTATCCCCTGCTCCAGATTCTTGCTAACTCATTTTTCCACTAACAGTACACCATGGACGCATACCACTACCTCTGCTGCTTGGAAACGAATGACTCATTTCGTCTGTGGATCATGTAAATGCAGCTTGCCTGAGTCAACACCCCAGTGACACGCTGTGCCTTTCCAAGAATTAAATTGTCTGACCTCATACTGTAATTTACTGAGTTAAAGCTGTATGTACATATATATTCTGTGAACTTAGGATGTCAGGCAGTTAGGTAAACTCTGCAGCAGCATACAATTGATAGATGACTATTTAATAGGAAGTATTCCTTCTTTCTAGAAATATTAATGCATATTGAATTACAGAGTGCTATAGTGCACAGAATGGCAGTCTAAATCGCTTATCTCTCCTCCTGTTGTCACTAGTCTCCAAGAAAATTAGATTTATGTCAGAAATATCATCGGTTGATCATTATGCTTAATTTTAGATAGAAATATATTTGTATTCTTGCTTCATGATCAGAACAAAGCATCTGTTTTATCCATAAAAATGAATGTTTTAATTAAATTATCATAAATAAGAGATAAACTGTCATTACAAATTCACTACAGTATGCGAGGCCACGATGGGCGTCATTTCTTCATGGTCTTCATGGAAACTGGGTAGAAAGGAGGTACTGTATTCTGGTTAGGAAAATAATTTACATGGAGATATATTGCTTTGCTGACAGAGGGACACATTTTCATTTCCTTTACCATATGAATTCAAAAAGTGAGACACATAAATTGTGTAATTAAAATTTTCAGTAGTATATGTTGCTTGCTTCTTGCATGAATAAGGATCATGAATTTGGTTTCACAAACATTAATAACTGATGTTAGAATTATGTGTTTTGCTTTATTCATTGATGTTTCTTTTAGATTGAATAAAAACATGAAAGCAAAAAAAAATAGGCCACCATATTAATTTGGACAAGAGATTAGCGATCATTCATATGTCAGTTACAATGTACGACTTTCATACCATAGTAATGTTTATTTTGATGCAGGTTGTTGGTTTAACATACTGTGTCGTGAAAGAAAGAAACTTGATGCCCATTTTTAATTACCAAATTTACTATTCAGATTTACTTATTTAAATAATTTCTGACTTGAGGAAAGCAGTGTTATAGTTTGCCTTTGTTCTTTACATTTTAACGTGAAAAGAGTGCTGTACACTTATGAAAGGACTGTGGTTACAGAGGTTACAGAATTGTTGGGTGTCTTACTACTTGTGTAAATTACCATGTACAGTTATAAAATTAAAGATAAATGTAACGAATATTGTAAGAATATCTAGAGTTGGGAATGCTGTAAAATAATGAGAAAAAATGTAATTGTATACAAATAAATAGAAATGCTGAATTGATTAGTTTTACTGTGGTTATATATATGGAAAGTTTTAAACAAAGCCTAATGTTTCCACATAAACTGTGCATTAGTAGTGTTCACACTATTGTCATCTCAAGTCTGACTCACTGGGGGAGCATTTTCAGCATCCTAATTAATTTCCGCTGTTCATGGTAGCTGAGTGGTCTAAGGCATGTACTCTCTTCGTTCGCTCGAAGCTGGGATCGTGGGTTCAAATCCTACACAAGGCATGGATGTTTATTTTGTGTTTGTGTTATCCTGTGTTTAGGTAGAGACCTTGCAATGAGCTGATCACTTGTCCAAGGAGTCCTACCAACTGTAAAAATGATCATGAAAGTGAGAAATCAACCCTATCCTCCAAAGTGGGAGAGGAAAGAGAAAAAATTAATTTCCCTTTGTTCTCTGTATGCATTTCAATATTAAATCTTTTACAGCCAGTAAACATCAAACCTCCATGGCAGATGGATTTCACATAATATTACAATAAGTAACAGAAAACCAATATCGGGTACATAAACTACAACAGGAAACAAGAATGGAAGTACAGAAATATCACCAAGCTATTTTTAATATGTTCAGGATGTCTCCATTATTGTCCAAACAAGATCTAAATGCCAAACAGAAATGCAAACAGTTAACAATGTAATGAGATTACTGAGTCACAGTGCAATTAAAACAGTAAAATTTAACAACTTTTAAATTCACAAATACATTATGCTTGGTGCTTTACATTCCCTACTCATGCCATCACTTATATTAGCTTCAGAAACTGCAGCCCGATTATCCAAATTTCCTACAGTCCTGTTCTCAGCAACCATGTGTTTCATGATCATACAGAATTTTATTACATATTTATATAGAATTTACATCAGACAAACTTTGAAACTCTATAAAAACCCTATTACCTGTCAGCCATTAATTTGCTCACAATAAAAGGGGCACACTACTGTCATTTCCTGAGGTGACCTGGTGCCCACTTTCCCAAGAAGCACACTCGTGCTTACTTCTTGAATGACATGTTACTGCTCCGTTACCTAGAGAAACGCTACTGCCCGCTGCTCACCTCCCTACAGATGCAATAGACCTCACTTCTGGAGAGGTATGCTAACATATTGGAATAAAATGTTCCTGAAAGTAACAGCCCAAACCTGATTCAACTGCAGCTTATGCTGTGAATAGACTTACTGCTTATTTGGTGGATGCAGAACCTCTGATGTCTGCTGCTGACACAGGATGGCTGAGTGGAAGTGCAGGCTCAAGTCACATATTTCTTGCGCTAGCCGCAATATGATTCATAATTTAAATTCTCCAGATAAACAATATCCTTATGGTGGACTAACACCACTCATTTCATCTACAGTTCATTATCACTTGCAAGACTGATCATCATATTCTCCAAAATTTCATGAATAGGTGGGATTTGCAGTGGACAAAGTGGCGCTGGGGCAGGTTTTCTCCGAGTACTTCAGTTTCCCCTGCCAATCTTAATTTCATCAAATTTTCCATTATCATAATCACCTGGGGCAGGCTACAATAGGCCAATCAGTGGCCGCCATGTTGAGTGGACCCAGTTGGACTTCACCCCCCACTATGCATAGTAACAAACATAACTGGTACTGAATGATGATGGAAGTTTCTCATTCACAGTTCTACTGCTGACATATTTAATTTCTTTATTATCCTGAATGACATGTTACAATATAAAATGTGGTACAGAACAACTGGTGGTTTACACAGACCAAGGACATACTACACTTCACGTCACTCAGTACAGACTGTACAATTCCAGCAGTGATATGTATTTCCACAGCATAAAATTGGCTTCAATCTGCAGAGTTCTACAACAAGTAGTGTCCCTTACTGAAGTCTACTCTAACAGTTAAGGGGAATGCTATGAGCTTTAGCACACAAATCAGTGGTTCCAAAATGTTAAGATATCCATCCATTAGCCATATTCAAAATGATTCAGAATGGCTGTTGTAAAAAAATCTATAATGGAATATTTTTTTGTGTAAAAAGGTAAAGGCAAAAGCTATCCCTGTAACAGGCCCTGGAGGTCCATACAGTTGTGAGATACTGAGGCTCCAACATTTTCTAGACAATCAACTGGTTTGTGATTAAGTACACAGTGAATCATTCAAGATGGTTCTTCACAACACAGCAAACATTACTTTGGGCTTCCTGCACAACACTTTTAGTCCATGTGTGATTTCCCACTGATAGCCTGCTTGCCATGAGTGGATAGAAGTGACATCCCAACAGCGCAAACATAAACCCTTGCAACTCTTTCCTAAGAGACCAGTGACAATATTGCAAATCAGGGCTTTGAGTGTTCAGATGTTTCACAAAATTATAGAGGATATGTGCTGTTGAGTGATCACATACATAGCCCTCACATCTCAGAAGTTGCACTACAGAATGGTGATTGTACTGAGCATGTCATCCACACAGGATAGATTTCCATGAACTGTTCTTTATGTTCAGAGATATATGCACATGCACCATTATATGAACATCACAGTTTTCATTTCAACTTTTTATCAAATATTTGACTTGGTTCATCATGGTCCGTCACACTAGTAATAGTATAAAAGATTATTAATGCCGTCCAGTGGGTGTATAAAGACATGAACCAAAATGGTCAGAGATTTTAACAAAAAGTTTTCTAAACAGTACTTAGTAAACAGACTAACTATAATAATTTACAAATGTTTTAACAAATTCATGCACATCGTAGTAATTGTTAAACGATATAATATTTTATATCTATGACATTGTAATTGTGGTTTCTGTAAGTACTGATAATGACCTACGACACTAATAATAGTTTCTGTATGTACTGATATGTCCTGAAGATTGTTGCTCTGACCGAAACATGTAAAGGATGAAAGATTAAAAAACACAACATTTATCAATCACACTGGATGGTGTTAATAATCTTTTATTTGATCACATTTCATTCCATGCACCATCCTGTATGTTACCTCAAAACACACTGCACAGCTTGTAGCAGTATGCTAATGGAGAGTGCGAATTTTGTGATTATGCTGTAGACTCAAGAAGTGGGCATATGGTGGCGATATAGGTGCCTGTTCTGGCTCCCTGTATTCATATGACGTTGAATCTTCAAGCTGAACACAAAACATTCAAGAATTTCTCACAGTTCTCAGTTTCATTAAGTACAAACAAAACAGCAAAATTCCTTACTATCATTTGATAAGAAAATTTATTCAAATTTCATAATTAACACTCAAGGACAAAATGAAGCTTTTGTAATACTAGTTATCAATAATGAAAACTTCTTTTTCTAATGCTTAAATAATGGCACAGTACAAAATTAAAAACACCAATCTCTTTAAAAAAGAAAAAAGTGGTGAAACATTACAGTCTGAGATATATAAACTTGTTAATTTTATTTTGAATAAGAAAGAACTGCCTGATCAGTGGGAAGAGTCTATTATTGTACCAATCTACAAAAAAGGGCTATAAAACTAACTGTAGTAATTATTGTGGGATATCACTGTTATTAACATCTGGGGAGCATCAGTGTGCGTTTCCACATAACAGATCAATTACTGATAGTAACTTTTCCATTCGTCAAATACCGGAGGAAAAATGGGAGTACAATGAAACAGTATGTCAGCTATTCATAGACTTCAAGAACGCCCATGATTCAGTTAGGAGGGAAGTACTGTACAATATTCTCATAGAGTTTCGAGGACCTATAGTACTAATTAGGCTGTACATCGATGCGTATAAATGAAACCTACAGTAAAGATTTATTGTCATTGCTTTTTAACTTTGGTTTAGAAGATGCCATTAGGAAGATCCAGGAAATCCAGATGGGACCGAATTTAAATGGGACCCAACAGCTGTTGGTCTATGCTACAAATGACAGACCCATCATCAGAGAGGGTGCCCCACCAGAACAAGACAGTCACAGTCAAACTGAACCTAATATCTGGTCATAAGGCCTGGATGGGGTGCGACACTAAGAAAGACTGACTGTCAGTTACAATATGACTTTGAATTCAGTCTACAATGATGATGTAAATCTATTGGGAGATAACATAAATACCATAATGAAGCACCACAGAAGCTTTAATTGACACTAATAAGGAAGTTGGTCTAGAAAAAACTGCAGAGAAACATTGATGTCTCATCACCAGAATGCAGGGCAAAATCCTGACATCAAGATAGCTAACAGATGGCTTGAAAATGTAACACAGTTCAAATATTTGGGAATGACCATAACAAATCACAACTTGATTCCGGAGGAAATTAAAAGGAGACTGAATCTGAGTAATGCTTGCTACCTTTTGCCTTTGTGTCTGCTGGGTATAAAACATAAAATTAGAATATACAAAGCTATAATTTTTCCCATGGTTCTGTATGGGTGTGAAATTTGGTCTAATTACAATATTAAGGGAGGAACATAGGCTGAGGGTCTGGACCAAAAAGAGATGAAGTGACAGGAGGTTGGAGAAAACTGAATAATGAGGAGCTTCATAACATGTACACTTCGCCAAGCATAACTGCAATGACTATGGCAAGGAGGATGAGATGGGGAGGGCATGTAGCATGAATGGGGAGTAAGGCATATAGCATTTTGGTGGTGGTGGTGGTGGTGGTGGTGGTGATGCTCTGGTACTGATGGCAGTGGTGTCTGTGTGGTGGTGGTGGCTGTGTTGTGGTGGAGGTGGCAGGGTGGTTGTGTTGGCACTTTGGAGTTGTGGTCCTGGTGCCGTGGTAAAATTATTCCTGTGCTTAGTTAACTGTTATGCCATACACATAAATGGGGAAGTGGAGGAATAGCTCCAACATTCTTAACCTCAGCACTAGGAGGAGGTGATTGGTCACCCTCAGGTCCCTGCTGCTTTACCCATGGGAAAACAGCCCTTGTTACCCCTTGTATCAGAGGCTGTGTGGGCTCTATAGCTGGTCTCTATGCCATGACGGAAAGAAAAACGTTTGCCCTTGCCAACAATTGAACCCAAATTCCTTGGCTATCCAGCCTATAGCTTAGTTACTATATTTTCTAAGATACCAATTTGTTTAAAGAATTTGCCAAAGTTAGAGACTCAAGCCTTTGTAATCTTAAAGTAATTGGTACAGTCATTACCATCTGTGTATAATATGACAAACTGTTCAATGTATATATGACAACAGTGCAATGGTAATAATGGTGTTTATCATATTCATCACTACATACCTGTAATGGATAAGTAGTATCAGAATCATAACTAATCTGATTCCCACAAGCTTTGAAAGGGAAACGTGGATGGGGTGAGTCAAGCAGCTCTGGCGAACCCAGTAATGACTTATCAATATTTGGCACATATTGAAGTGGCGGACAATAAGTCTTGCAAAGCACAAATGATTCTGAAATAAATGACAACAAACAAACCTCAATACATTCAGCAAATAGCAATGACAGAGAAACCACAATACTATAAAAATAAATAACTGGCACAATGAAGCCGTGGAAATCTCCCACATTCTAACACACAACTTCACCAGTCTAACAGACAACAGACAACTCCCACAACCTAACACGACAAGGCGATATTGCACCCTGATTCTCTAGACACCAACACAAGTGCTATCCAATCAGCACCCACAATCGCAGCTCCATCGAGAACTGGTCACATGGACTAACAAACACAAGTATGCTACAGTGCATTCGCATTATGCACCTTATGCAAAAGATGATGATGATGATGATGATGAAGAAGGTGAAGGTGAAGACGACAATATCAGTGGACAACAAATTTTTTCATTTAAATATAAATATGTGTGTACTGTAACAGTAGGTTTCCTTATATGAATACTGTGTTGGAAATATTTAATTGTCTGAGGTATATTTCAAGTACCCAGGGAGTTTGCTCTATTCCTACCTTCAGAAGAATGGTAGGTACTATGTTAGAAATGTTTTATTAAAAAAGTAAAGCTATCCCTGTACCAGACTGTGAAGGCCCATAGGGCTGTGAGACGTTGAGGGTCCCACATTATCTAGACAATCCGCTCAAAGATGGCGGTAAGGTTGTCAGCCTTACGCACCGGCCGCGCTTTACTCCCCAGGAAAATTACTTAATTAATTCCTGGTACTCATTTCTGTTAGAGGCTGAGTTGACCCCAGGGTCATAGTGCGGCTGAAAGGATTAGGTCAATTAAAAAAATCCAATGACGTTATTGGGACTTGAACCCATGACCTTCCGGCTTGTAGCATAGCCCCTCAACCAACTACACTACCATGTTATATTTTTAATTTTGAAACAAGTGATGACCATTGTGATCAAAGCTAGAAAATTTTGAATACTAGGCTAGTTTCTTAATCACTTCATCCCTGGATCCAATGGTTGGGATGCTAGACCAATAACAAGTCTGTCAGTACAATGACAACAAATCATCTGAAGATAGAAGAACTAACTCCAAAAATTTTGCCTGTAATAAATATACCTAGGACAATGACCAACATAACGTCTGTAAAATGACTCGACCACTATTATTCAATTTATATGATCAATGGTATATTTTTCATCATCTGTGACTTATCCCGCATGCAAAGTGTGGGAGAAATCTCTCCAGTATGTAAGATGTAAATCCCAGTTATTAAAAGTTAATACATGAGTGCACATTTGATAAAATTCCTAACAATCTGAAATCAAGTACTGAGAAACTTTAAGGTGACTCTTTAGGTCCCCTAGCTGCAATAAATTAAATTGATGCGTGTACCTATGCTTGAATTGCGTGAAGTGCGTGGCTTAGCAATAACAACTTCTTTGAAGAACTTCTGAAGGTGAGATAAAAGGACTAGGACATCCTTGCCACAGAATAACTTTGCTAGGAATGTGCCCTCTGGAACCAGAACATTTGTTGCAATATTGAAAGCAGCCAGCAGTAACTGTGCTTGTACATATTCATCGAAGTCGGGCAGTCCTGTAACTGCAACACACAGATGTAAAATTATTTAAGTATGCAACAGAGTGAATCATGCAAGCATTAACTACATAATGAACAAATGAAGCAAAAACAAAGAAACTAAATATTATACAAGACACGTTACATAACAAATATAATAAAAACTTAAGCATAAGTCACTCAAAAAACCACACAGACAACAAAAATATAGGGCCACAACACCCAACAACAAAATGAGCCATATTTACATATGGCAGAAAAGACACAAAAACAAAACTTTTTTAAAGAAACACAAATAAAAGTCACATTCTGAACAAAAAACACGTTCCAAAACCAAATAAAACCCTGGCCACAAATAGACAAGTATGAAAAGAGTGGCATATACCAAATGAGATGTATGGATTGCCCACTAAAATATACTCATATAGGGCAAATTGGCCGAACATTCCAGACCAGATATAAAGAAAACACACAGGCTATAAGGAATAACAATGGAAACTCAGGATACTGAAATCATGCATATGGAAGCATAACTGACACCATGAAAGGTATAAAAACAGAGAAAATAAAAGGAAAACATATAAATACACTGGAAGAATACCATATATATAAAATAAGTAAAGAGGGACTACACCTCAACGACACATACATTTATACCTATAACCCAATATTCAAGGAACCAGATAGTAACAAATAAACATTATAAGAACCAGTCCAACTTAGCAAGCAGTTGGAAACAAGACAAGGAACATAGAATGACAGAGTATATAACACAGCAAGGAATGTAAGTACACAAAGTCAAATTATACAAATAAACTTTGCAAACATAAATTCTAATAAAATTTCTACTTGTTTCAGAGACACATGCGAATTAGGGGAACCATATATCAACAACTAAACATCAACGCAGAAAGAGAGCAGTTTCCTTGCCCAAAACTTTCAACACGTGATGATGACCACTTCAGTTGAAACATGTGGTGAAAACTTTTAAAGTGACTAGCTATTACTAAGTTTTAATAAACTGTTGTTCATAAGACTGTATAACTAATTAAAAACACTAAGTGAAAGTATATTTTTGTATAGAATTAGACTTTTGGAATGATAAGAATTGTTCAAACTTCAGCAACAAATCATAATATAACAACATTTAGAAATAATACACTTACCATCAGGTGCTCCATCACACAAAACAAGATGTGCAGACTTCCCTTCAAAATGTTCTATAATGGCCTCAGCAGTTCCCTTCTTGGTGATATCACCTTGAATCTGCACTACACCTGGCAGAGGAGCCATTGCTTGTAAATCCACAGCCACTATTTTCACAGCTCTCTCACCCTCATTTTTGTCTGATCTGCAAAAAATAAAATCCTTATTCAAACCTTAACAGACAACCAGCCCTATGCACTTCAACTGCCCTCTCTGGAGGATTCAAACTGACTTCACAACCATGCTATTACCATAATATTGTTACACGTACACCCACTGCTAGGGAACGTGAATCAAACCCAGTGCCATAGTGCAGCTGGAAGGACCAGGTCAATTGTTTGCCTAATTATGTGAATGTATGAAAGTTTTATTCTCCAGTCCTTCTTAGCCCATGCTAACGAACTGAAATTTTATTACAGGTCTATCACATGAGGCTAGTGCTCCAGACATTATAGTAACATGAAGAAAAAGAAAGCAGTCTTCTGGGATTTGGCACCGTGTATATGTGGTGTTAACTGACGTTTCGGAGGANAAGAGTTAACACTTACGCTAATCTCTGGGACACAACTTGACTCCAGCTTCCTGGAGCAGCACACAAATCTACCACATGAAATACCCCTGTGTACAAAAGAAATAAAGACAATCAGTGAAGTTATGATGTCATAATGAGGAACTAAATATAACACTGAATTTCTGAATTTATAGTGCACTATATAAACACTTTGAAAGACATGAATTCCAAGGGGTTATGTGTTTACACACCTATCTGTGATAAGTCATACTGACTGTGGTGCTGACATCAAAATTTGTTTCATGAGGTTTGGGCAATGAAGTCCTGTGTTTACAGTACAGAATAATTTAAACTACTGTACCATACTGCTTCTCTATAACAGCCACAACGTAACATAAGTTAGCATTATTGGGTGGTTCAAACATCACATTTCTAACAATGTTAATATAATATAAACAATTTATTTGTAAATGAATAAATGCATGAATGATATATTTTCACTTTTATTAAAAAGAGTATAAGTGTCACTGCACAAAGCAAATTCAAATGTTACTACGTAGGCCTGTGAACATAATGCTCATTTCTACAAGTAATACTGTGATTTTCATTCTTACAACTTGGTCAGCAGAATCCATCCATTGGTGTGGACTGTGGATTATACTGACATCAATAAAGCAGATAAATACAGCAACACTGATTCTAAATGACAGTCTTTGCAAGGATGTTATTTCCATTCAATTATTACTTATTTAAAGGGATTTTTAAATCTTAACTTTTTAACACAGACAAAAAAGTCGCAGAAGCTGACATCAGTTTTCTTTCTTCTTTTTATAAAGTGGACAAGGGAAACTGCTGGCAGGGGGGGCAGAGCTCAGCCTCTCTGAAATGCATTTGACATATTAAAGGAGGTGAACAGAAACTGCCAGAAACATGCGGCTATCCAGACTGCTTTGTGCCTTTCCAGAATAATAACACAGTTTAACCTGACAGATGATCAAGGCTGAAGCAGGACATTTCATAGCTGTTCTTTAATGGTCAGGAAAGCAAGACAGAATGACACAAGCGATAAACATTAGGGGAACTGGATGAATTTGTGTCAGTTGCAGTGAGAGTCCATAATTTAATTACTCAAAATACTATGTCAGCAAATAAATTCTAGCATTTTATGGCAAAATTTTGAATAGGGCACTAGCCATATTCTGATATCTTTATCAAGAACCAAGTTCACTCAAATGATACTGCCTATGACTTGCATTCCAGAGGTGCTTGGTTTCAATCTCATGATGATATCCTAAAATTGTGCCATGGCCAATTTCTTCCACAACCTTTCAAAGCCATTTTCCATTATCAAACCAATTATCCGCCACACCGGTCTGAGCTAGTAACTGTCATTAAATATGCTACCAGTACATTCAAAGTTATCTTTATCTATGCAAGGAGCATTGCCTTATCTGATTCTTCTCGATATTCTTACTAATTTCAAGTTGTTCTGTTAGCTGTATACATTATATAAAAATGAATGACACAGAAAGAAATGGATGTGAAAGTGGTTGTGACTTGCTTTTAATGTACAACTCCAGTAGCTATCTGACAGTACTGAGAAATACTACAAAGACACTCAATGAGGAGAACCACTCTTCCAGGAAAAATACAAACCAGGAGCTCTAATGACTACACTATAACATCTGACTTTAAATAAATGCCACCTTCCTAGCTACAAAGCTATTTCCTTATGCACAGTGTGACATAGTACAGTGCGTACAATCAAGTGCGCGCCGCGGCTGCAATTTGCCGTGAGTCATACCACCGNAAAAAATATAATACATTTATATCTAGTCTGACAAAACTGACAATTAGAAGACTAATTTCAGTCCAAAAGTTGCAACTTTGCCTGCTACTCTTCCATCTCGTCGCCAAATCCTTGTGTCCACTGCTGCTATGAAGACACTATCTCAGGAATCATGCATACTACCAGCCAATATGAACTCTGCACACAAAAATGTCCAGTCAAACTTTTCCATAATATTAAATTGCATCATCCTGTTGGACTGTGTGGACCTGACTTTGCGTTGGTTAGTATTACCTTGTACTTTTCTCATTATTGTCTCTACATGTTTCGGCATAACTGGCCATCATCATGTGTACAGGCTGTTGTGATGAAGCTGGTTAACCCACATAAGCTAGAATCTGAGGCAACTACATTAGAAAAGCAGAACAGCATTACACTAAGCAGCTTCCTTCAAGACAACCTGTACACATGATGACTGTCAGTTGGGCCGCAAAATGTAGTGACAATAAACAGTAAACAACAACTAACCAACGTTGCACACAGACCGCAAAAAAGCGGAACACGAAGTCAAATTTTTCCGTATCTTGAATGGACGTGTTGTTCAAACTCACCAGTAAACAAATCGAATTCTTCATCAATCTGTATTAATTTATATGCACTTCTTGCCCTGAAATTACCCTCTTTCGCAAGTCGGTAAAATACATCACGTTTGTCCCGTGACGATTTCCCCATGTTACATGTTCACATTTTCTTTACCAGCAGAACCCCAAAACCAACACACATTTATGTTAAAACATGCACTGAATAAATTACGGATCACTCTTATAACGCCCATAACTTCAGGCCCACCACATCATAACTTCGCTACCGTTCGCTACTAGCGGACGTATCGGAGCTATCGGTATCGGAGCGGTATCGGAGTACTAGCATAGACAGCATTCGCTTGTCAGGTTGGTCAGGGGCAGATGCAGTTTGGTTATGTTGAAATTAATTAAGGTTACAGGATTTTAATTAGTAATATTCGGTAATATTTACGTACGTTGAGGTAGTGTGACGTTACATGTGTGATATGTTTGTAATGTAAATGCTTTCTGTGTATGGTGTGATGATTTGATATAAATTTGTTCAGTAAGCAGGAGACGGAGTGTAGTTGACAAATACTGTTCATCGTACATCTTCGTGAATTCGTGAATATATAAATTTCAATCATATAGACTCTTATTAGAGGTGCATCTGCAGTTCTGCAGGTGGTTTATGGTTGAACGTGTCTGTTCTTCAGCTCTGAGGTGCTTGTAAACGTAAATGTAACCCGTCCCTGTGACCGAAAGAATTAAACTCACAGTCAGTATGCTGTGGAATGAAACAGATATGTGTTGACAATGTTATAGAAGCTGATTTTATTTGCAGAATAATGATTACTCTTAATATTCGTGTTAGAAATTAAGAATTTGAAGTATGCCATTATGTGATCATATTGGAGAGAGAGGGAAGGACTTCTTAGAAATGTTATGCAGGTTTATATGATTCGTTATTTGTTAGAAGAAAAGACTAATATTATTACAGGTACTTTCGAAACAGCACTTCACAGTATAGATTAGTTTGTGTTTGGCTCGTGAAATTTGGCGTTGTAGGCTAGTTTAAAAGTAGATACAAATTTTGTGTTAAACACTTTTCTGTATTGGTAAATATGAGCTTAGTCATAGTCGTCATATTGAACTGTAAGTAATGAAGCTTCACTGTTTCAATTACTTTCTTTGCACATAATTTTGCTGTATGAAAGTTTGTGTTGACTCCCATCAATTTTCCATGCTTTGCATAGTCTTTTGAGTGATTTGTAGTCATATTCTATTAATTGTTGAGCAGAATGTTAACACTGTTTTTGTAATGATGGAACTGATACATAACTCAAGTTCTGGGGAAGATCAGCATTTTCATTTTATGAGCTGATTGTCCTTGATGTTTGTTATTGTGCTTGAATGTTCTTGCTCCATTTGTTTCCGGTTCTTCTAGAACCAATAATTGGTCCCAGCTAATAATCTAATCTAGATAATTGCATCTTATAAAAGCTGTACTCACATCAGAGTTTGTGAAACAGTGAAAATTACAAATGTGCCTATGGATATCATGGTGTTTTGCCTGTAGCAGCTGAAATGTAGAGGACAGAATTATATAATTGTTGACTGGGAATTTTGGTTAGATGGGAGTTTGAAAATGGAAAATAAGCATAAGTTCTTCCATTAAATTTTTGATATATAAGTAGTGCATTATTGCATGGCTTGCATTTGTAAGGGAATGGAAATTAATTTTCCATTTTTTAGGAGCTGAAGTCTTTACTTTTATATATTTTTACAGTGTTCTAATATGGAGATATCTTTGAACAAAATTTACTTAGTTTATGGATATTATTAGTACCTTTACTTTAGGCCAGTATGTATACCAGCAAATACTTGATCTGTATTGACAAGCTTCTCAAAAGTCACACATTTACTATTGCACTGTATTTTTCAATCTTGAGGCAAAAACTGAACCTGAGAGCACCAGCAAACATGTTTGGGGGGGGGGGTAGTGCCAAGTATTATCTTGCAGAAATGTTATGTGACCATAAATTTTTTGTGTCATTGCAAGCCAAATAGAAGTTTTACATTTTGTTGAATTTAAAAGTGGATCAAGTTTGAAATTGTACATACAAATTTGCATGCAAATCAGAATCTGTTTTTTAATGCTATTCATGCAATTGTTTCAGGCCTGCAACTCACCAGCACGAGATCTCAAGTGACTCATCTACCATAAGAGGAAGGAGTTGTTGCTGTACAGTCATAATGAGCAAGTTACAGCATTTCGCTGATGTCCAATACCATGCATGGCTCTTTCAGATAGACTTTTCTCTTGCAGCTATGCCACCAGAATCTCTGCATGTCAAGACTGAAGTGAAAATCTGGACATGTCATGACTGAAGTGAAAATCTATGCA